TCTCAAGCCAATGTACCAGCATTTCCAGTTCCAAGTTTGGTCAATCTTTGGGGTTTTGCAGCATCTTTTCCGGGGCCCCTGATATAGCTAGAGGATTTCCAACACTTCTTGAAGCATACTACTGGCTTGAATACCGCCCCGTTTGTCAATATCATCGTATTATGTAACTACTTATGCTGAATGGTACCATTTTAGGGTTTACTGACGACACCGCGACACCGGAGATGTGATCGGCGGAATTAAGCCAAGTCGCTAGAACATAAAAATAAACGACTAGGGAGCATGGAAAGGAGCTATGAGACAAGTCTAATATCCAGCCGCAAGAGAGGTACGGAAAAGAAAGGAACGTTACGCTGATAGAATGCTGCAAGATAGTAATAAGTAAATAAGCACTTCTCAGTTTCCATGAGAATTGGAGAAAAAGGGAGTATGAAGAATTGAGATTAACATTGAAACAAGAGCTATAGTTCTACTTAGGACAAGTCGTATCTGTATAAAGCTTAATGTCTATATGTAAAGAATATAGGTATTGGGTCACATCTGTGCAGGCATTACTCTTTGAAGAATAGTACCTCGCACATCTCCTGTGATAGTACCGTCTCCACCACAAATGCACGTGACTATGTTTATTTCTATTTTTATTTTTGGTTTTTTTTTTTTGTTTGTTTGTTTGAAGTTTGTTAATTAGCCTCAGGGGCTGTGATCCAGAGATATGCTTGGACCTTTTTTGAAGTAGCACAGGAAAAATAAAAAAAAAAAAGACAACCCGATTGCGAACTAGCTTGGTACTCAATATGATTACGATAGACAAACTTGAATTGCTCGATACTGGAACCCAGATATACTTGTTAACTGTTTTCATTTTGAGTCCAGTTTCTGTGTATTTCTTGTACAAGCAACATAAAGGGTCCTGGAGAAAGAAGCATGAGTGGGCCACCAATTTCGTCGCAATTTGCATAATCATACTAAATATTAACGCGTGGTACTTTCTAATATGGAGCTTGAAACAACATGGTGACAGATTGGATAGGTCCCTGTTGCACAAAGAACTTTTGAAAATGAACTTTGAACCTATCAAAGTGTCAGGATTCACTTTCGATGGTGAGCGACAGCACCTCCTAGCAACTTTGCCACAAGATTCGCATTCAGATATGGAATCGAATCAGCAGCATGACCAACTGAATGCAGTAGAAGAGAAGCCAGCTAATGATCAACTGAATACACAAGAGGAGAAGTCAGCCAAGGAGAAGTCAGCCAAGGAGAAGTCAGCCAAGGAGCAAGGCAAGTCTGGAAGACGAGATACTGCAGAGTCTTTTAATGCTGACGGGCTGTTTGACTGTAACACAATTCTAGTGAGGGATGAAACAAGTATTGCTGCATCGAAATCATACGACTTGAACCAAGAATCTGATTTGAAACTCTTGAGAGACCAATTGCAAGTGCTATCAAAAAACAAAGATGCCTATAAGCTATATTTTCAGGATGATCCAAGTCAACTGGAGGAGTACATTCTTCGAAAGAAATGGTTCAAGTTTTGCGGGAGCGCGGTTTGGATGGATCAGTATAAGGTTTACTTCATGGTTAATCGAATAGTGTACGCCAAAGATGAGAGACGAAATAATCCAACAATCTCGGTATTATCTGGTCAAGTCTTTGATAAAAACTGGCGTGAGATTAAGGGCTTCAAATTTCCTCATTCTGACTTGGTTTTTCCAACTATATTACCTCATGATGTGGATTTGGGGACAAGAGAGGAAAAAGTTGTTATTGGGAGCGAAGATCCAAGGATCATTTTGAATGAGTACAGAAACTCGGATGGAGATTTGATGCAAGAGCCGCTCATCATCTTTAATGCGAGAAGAACTAAAGTGAAATGGGCCCGTGCAATGAATATTTACCGACCTTTCAACGATCCCCAAGAAGTGATCTGTCTTGGAATCAAAGACAAGAAGAGAAGTTTCATTGAAAAGAACTGGGCACCATTTATTGATCATTTCAACGGCGAGAATGACGGCAACTCCATCAATTTCATTTACAACTTCAATCCATTGAGGATTATAAAGTGCAGTTTGCAAACTGGGGAATGTGTCAAAGTGTCGGGACCGAGATTTAATCCCATTGACGCCAACGACAATGCCGGTGTTTTACGAGGAGGGACGAACATTATACCGATACCCGATGAGTTTCTTCCTGATACGGAGGTTACCAGGAATCGGAAGTATTGGTTGGGTATTGCACGTTCTCACAATAACGACTGTGGCTGCATGCGCGAATTGTATCGACCTCATCTATTCTTGATGGCACGATTGTTGACCAAGGAAGATTCGTTTGAGCTAGTTTACGTCAGCTCCATGGTTGATTTCAACATCAATCCTGAGCCGTGGTCCAAGGGACATTCAAGCAAAGGGACATGCAGAGACGGAAAACTGGTGTTAATCCCCAACTCAATTGCGTACTGGGACGTTGACTATCGCGACGATGCGGATTACTTGGGAGTGACATTTAGTGAGGCTGATAGAACAAACAAACTTGTACATGTAAAGGGCATCCTTAAGCATATACATAAAGTGTTACATGATTCAAAAAAGAGAGAGGTGAAGGATGCTGGTGTAGGAGAAAGTGCAGAGCCAGCTGAACGTGGTGCTGGCCGCAAAACTGGGGAAATTGAGTTGTGCAATAAACTACTTGGATTCTGCTCTACGTATCTCGCAGGGGAATATTGTGAGGTTGCAGAAAAGATGTTTGCGTGGTGATTACATGCGAGGGGATGGTGGAGTGCAATGCTATGTAAATACAATTTAAGTAACTGTTTTATTTATTAAGCTCTAGAAGCAGTACTTTTTTTTTCTTTTTCTTCTTATGTTTGTTTATTAGCAGGTGGAAAAAAAAACCAGACCTAGAGGAGATGATTCACCTCATTAGAGTCATTTTTATTCAGACTTGTCTTCAGGGGGCACTGAGTTTCCTCTCAAAGTTAAGGGATAATGGTGGTCATCATCCCCATCCTCATTGTCGTCATCATTTGCACCCAAACCCAACTTGAAACCGACATAATCATCAGTATTCAAGCCTTCTTGGGCTTCTTGTAAACTTCCCAAATCTCCTGGAGTCATCAATCCTACTTTGGATCTGGGCGAGCCTGGTACCGAAAGTGGTCTTGTTAATTTAAGGTTTGCCGAGTTATTGAATGGATTGGCGCCATTCTTGAATTTGTCGGGATAAGCTCTTTTCAAGCTCAATTGACGGGCCTTTATGTACTCCAATCCCATTCGTTTCCAATCCAACAAGTCACTTAATCTTTCGGTTCTATTTCTCTGATTGATTCTTTGTCTTCTAGTCTTTTCGCAGAAATCAAACATGTACCCCGTCAACTGGTCAATTGATTCATCGACGGATTTCATTCTTCGATCAACAATGTAGATTCCGTAATCGCTAGTGTTTTCAATCAAGTCTTCCATGTAGCATCCGAATCCAGAGAGATTGGTTGTGATGGATGGAATACCCATGACCGTACATTCTGCTGGAGTATATCCCCATGGTTCATAGTAAGATGGGAAAACACCCAAATGGCAACCACGGACAAACTCGTCATAGTCCAACGACAAAATTGGGTTGTTGGCATTGAGAAATTCTGGGTGAAAAATGATTTTAACTCTATCCTCTGGGCGGTTAAACAATTGGACACGTCTGATTTGGTTCAAGATTGGATCGGTGTTATCGTCAATCATATTGTGGGTGACGATGGGTGGCAATCCGTCTCTTTTCAATGCATAGATTCTTCTCTTTAACAAAACACGATCTGCAGGTTTGATCAACTCATCAATTGATGGGACTTCGTTAGATTTCCCTGCCGCATGCTCGGAATTTGGGTATCTGGCACAATGTTCAAACAATCGCTCGCCCACTTTTTTTTGAACTTCTTCAATGGTTGATTCCAACTGTTTGACAACCGCTTGTCCTTTCAATGTTTCCACTGTGTAGGATTGGGTTCTGCCTGGCATGATAATGAATGCAACAACTGTCATTTTAGAACCACTTTCTTTCAATCTATGGTTCAATCTTGCTAAACTTTCAATGAAAAAATCGCAACCTTTATTTCTAAATTCGTATCTTCCAGCAATGAAGAAATACAAGGTATTTTCCAAATCAAAATCGTAATTTCCGTAAAAGTGTCCTTTAATAAACTCGTTAATCTTTTCCTTCTTCATGGCATGCAAGTTTTGGAATTCGTGAACAGCTTGGAATTTAACAACATTCAACCCATTGGGCAACACCCCATCGGGTTTTCTCTTTAACAAATGTTCACTTTCAAATGCAGTGATGTGGGAAACGGTGGTGAATACATCGGCTGAGTGAGTGGCTGATCTTTCTATGCAATAACGGTGGTAAATGCCTCGTTTACCGGCCTCGGCATCGACGTCAAAGTTGGCCAAGTTGTTGTAAAAATCGGTTGAGCCTGCACAAAGGTATCTTCCCAACAAAGTCGCATGCGTGGTGAATATGGTTGTGACATCGATTCTTCGTTTACGGCACAAGGGCAACGCAATACCCGCCAACCATTCATGGAAATGAGCAATAACGGCTCTGTCGCGGTCATTGTACACCAATTCGCCCAAGAACCAAGCAACCAAGTATCCCAACAAGATAGCTTCATTGGTTTCCAGATCGTGGTCAGGAGTAGGAATACCAGCTATATTCCACAAGTCTGCCTTCCATTCATTGAGAAAATGGCCGGCTGACCAAATGTCAAAAAGCAATACTCTTGGTGCACCTTCAATCAACCATCTTCCATAGAGCCAACGAATGCCTTTAGCAGACATTGAGTCCAAAGTTTGCTTGAGTAAAGGGTCCTTGACTGGTAACTCCTCCACTTCAATTTGGGCCGAGTTGTAGTTTAAAGGTCCAATAAGGGTGTAGCGTTCTCTATATTCAGCCACTGTGATGGGAGCTTTTGATTTTAGAACCGAGTAGATTCCCCCCACCTTGTGAGCAACTTCGGTAGCTACTTCGAAAAGTAGATGATTGGTGATGTCTCTAGTCATGATGATTGGATGAATTGGGATGAATTGAATGGAATGTTATAGCAGTACAAGAGGCACACAAATAGACATACACAGACACACTCACACGCAAAATTCAATTCAAATTCAAATTCAAATTCAAATTAAGCGCCTCTTGGACGAATGTTAGGGACCAAAAAAAAATAAAAATAAAAAAAAAAAATGAAACCAAAAGGAAAAAGGAAAAAGGAAAACCGGACGAATGAATGGAAGGGAAAAGATCCTAGGTGAGAATTGGTGGTTGGAAGTGTGGTGAGTGATGAAAAGGAGTCTTTATATGTATATAGTATAAGTAAGAAGCTACTCCGGGATAACAACTGAAGAATATATGTATATATATATATTACTGATGATTGAATGAAGGGGAAGCAAATATAAAGAGTTAAAAAGTTTTGGGGGGGTGGGCGGTGGGGGGGGTGTTTTTGTATCACTCAATTTTATCATTCATATCAATTTTAATTAGTTGACACAAAAACAAAACAGATGAGAGAAAAGAGGGGTTAATGGATGGAGTCATAAATATATATACATATACATACACATATATACAAATATATATATATATGTATATCTAAATAGACTAAATAGACTAAATACACTTTATTTGTTTGTATACATTGAAGTCAATCAAATACTAACAACAGTTGAACAACACAACACTAGAATTAGCAACAACTAAACTAAGTTACAATGTTGTTGCTTATTGTAATAGACAACCTTTAGCTGACTGTAACTCAATAGTTTATATATATATATATATGATACTATGTATGTATGTATGTATGTATGTATGTATGTATGTTGTATTGAAAATCTCACGGGTGAGGGTGAAGCGAGAGAATGAGAGATTAGACCATGTGGGGGTGGGGGTGGGGGGAGTTTGTGTGAACTCACTCATAGACAAACATGTATGCATCGTGTACATGTACATGTACAGTAGTGGTACGTAATAGAGTTGTCCGAGGTAGGGAATTGATATGGTTGTTCATCTTGTTGTTGTTGTTGGTGGTGGTGGTGCTGTTGTTGTTGGTGCTGCTAGTGCGGGTGGTTTTATGTGCATTTCATCATACACACGATATTGTAGATGAAATGATTACCTGTTTGTATGTATTGTATACAAACCAAATCATAAAGAATCAATATACACACAAAAGCATAATTTATCAAAGCCCTACTTTGGTCGTATATAATGATATATATATATAGATATATATATATGTATGTATGTATATAAAGATCATGGAGATGGTGGAGATGGTGGAGAAGGGAAAGGCAATAAAGGAGGCACACTCGTGCAGCTGGAATCTCTGAAACAGAGATGAAACAGAGATGAAGACAATTTTTAACAAAGAGCAATACACTTTACGGAGGAGCTAAAGTTCTTTCCCTATACTTACCCCGTTCATCACTCTTTACTCTCTTCCTCTCTCCCTCTCCCTCTCCCTCTCTCTCTCTTTGGTTAAAGTTGGTTGTGCTTATTGCCAATTGTTGAACAGTGCCACATGTTACCTGTACTAGTTTTTTTGAACAAAAATCGTGCCAATTCTTTGGTTCTGAGAAAGAAACTATTGTTACTGTTTACCAATTCAATAACTAACACCTAATGAAGAAGAAAGGTGGAGAAGAAGTAGAAGTAAAACAAAAGAGTTGCAATGGAAGTCTTTGGTATTGTCATTGGTATTCAAATGGGTGTATAGTTAATCCTTAGTAGAATCTTATCCAGTGGTACACGACTCCACTTTTTCTCTTGCCATGTTACAGCCACACTTTCAGTTACACTTACACTACCAATCACATTACCAAACACACTACCACTCTGAATTATAACAATAAAGAAAAAAACAATTGTATACACAGCCATACTCCAACTGTACAGCCACCCCAACTCCATCTCCAACTCCAACTCCTACAACAACAACAACAACAGCACTATGCTCAGAACAAGTACCGTTTACTAATATATACTTTGTTTGCACAGGAGATGCTATGTATCCATCGATAGATATATCAATACTACATTACTCTCATATACATCTTGTGACCAGAAATGCTGGAACAACAGAGAGAGATTCTCCTTCTTCCTCTTGGTTGAATAGTTTTTTAGTTACTTCCTTCTAGTTCTTCTTCACTTTCATCACTTGTTTTACGAAAGGTTTGTACATTCACTCCAAATAGTTAAACATACATACCTGCTATACACTATACTACCCCACGTAGACATGAATACCATTCAATCAATCTAAAGCAAGTATGAAAGACGAAAAAGAAAAAAAAAAAATTTTTTTTTGTTCAACAAAACAAAACAAAAAAAAACAAAACAAAACAAAATAAAACAATAGATCAACAACAAAACAAGAACACACTGCAGAAGGATCCAAAAAACTTCAATAAAGTAGCCTTATACCACACCACACAACACCTTTCGCACTCGTCACCACCCAACTGTCTGTTCAGGTGTCTCTCTAACCACAACCTGACTCTTTACTACATTCCCCGTTTCCTCCACGTACACACACACACACACCCAAGTTCATACGGTGTTAACATACCCCTACCACCAACTATCTATTCACTCCTTTCCCAATTTACACCACCATCCGTCCTTCTTTCTTTCACTTAAATTTTTTATTTTTCTTCACACAACATCCTTTTCGAGACAGACTTGACTGCATCAATCTGGCCAAAAGCTGACTCATCATACTGTGCTTCTTCCTCCCAATTTTCACGCAAGTATAACACTTTCCATTCACACACACACACACACACACATACACACACACATACACACACACATACACACACACATACACACACACACATATATATATATATATATTACACCGACATAGAGAGGCTGCGTAACAAGGAAAACATGAATGCTGTCAAGAAAAGACTTGGATCAAGCCAAAAAGGAAGTACCTCTCCAAGAAATACTCAAGATGGCAGCTTTGGCACAGGTGGTCGCACGCCTAGTACAACAAACACAGGACCTTCTGGTGCCTTGGATGCTGACCCTGATTTGGACGGATTGTCTCCTGAATTGGTTCCCATAGTCACTTTGTTATCTTCCCAATCGCATAGACGCTACAACGAAGGAATCTTTATGTTGTACTACGATCTCAATGGAGATGGAAAACCTGCTGACAGAGAGTGGCGTGAAGTATATGGGATCTTGACTGGAAATCAGTTGGCTTATTGGGATGCTGCAATTTTGGCTCAATTCAAAAACAATGCCGATGCATTACTAGAAGTATCGGCCAAACCCAGTTATATCAACTTCACGGACGCAGTTTATAGTGCAATGAAAACTTTACCAGCAGCAAAACAAAATTTGGATAATGTTGTTGTTGTTTCCACAACTTTAAAAAACAGATACATTTTGCAATTCAAATCCACCAAGGACTTGGAAACTTGGTATTGTGCCCTTAGGCTATCAAGCTTTGAATACAACTCCCTTCAAGCCGCTTATACCGGTGCGTTATTATCTGCACGAGGATCTCGGTTATCCGATATTCGAACAATTTTGGCCGAAAAACGTTTTGATCACGAAGATTGGATCAGTATAAGATACGGTAGTGGTATGGCTTGGAAACGATGCTACGCTGTTGTTGAGCCGTCTACTTTGAAAAGAAAAACTTTTGTTCCCGGGAGGATTCTTCTTTTCGAAAACGAACAGAAAAAGAAGAAACAATTGATGGCTGTTGTAACTGATGCATCTTCTGTTGCAGCCATATACCCTCAATCCCATCTCTTGATTGACCATTCAACCATGATTAAGATGGAAGGGTACATCAACTTCTCCTCACCAAGTTTGTCAACAAAAGTTTCAAAAAAAGACTTGGGGGATTTCAAGCAAACGTCAATATTCTTGATGCCTGAACAACACTCAGCCGTTCCCGGGTTCGACACCTTGATAAGATTTTTAGTACCGTTGTTTGATACATTTGGATTATATGGCAGACCAAAGAGATTGAAGGCCAACCGAAATGATGTTGATTCGCTATTGTTTGGATTGCCAACTCTTCCTAGGGTTCATTACTTGGAGCTTCTGGATATTCAACAGCTAGTCTCCAGAGGTGGTTTCATCAATTGGGATTTGAGAACATGGAATTTAGAGATCCAAAACTTGCTAAAGTCTAAAATCGAAAGAGGTTATGACGGATGTGGAAGTCAACGAGGTTACGCTGCTGCTGTGAGCAGTCTCAATAGTCCAGCTCTATCAAGTTCCCCTAGACTTCCAAGTAGTGGCACTGCGCTGACATTCAAAAGAAAGGACTCTTCCAATTTGTCGCGAGAAACAACACCACAGTCAGGAAATTTTGCACAACCTTTGTCGAAACAATCTACTCAGCTCAGCACGTCGCTACCTGGTCCAGCGCCAGCGCCACCACCACCACCGCCTCATCAACCCTCTACCATAGCACCTGGAGGAAAACGCTTGGACAAGAATATCAAAAACCTCGAAGTCGAAGTTCCTGCAATTCCACAAACAGTGAAAAACGGACACCTCGCGCCTGGAGCCACTACAAATCCGCATGATTCGGTTCAATTGGCAGAGATTTACCAAAAATACTCAGATTTGAAAACACCATCAGACAATTATGTTGATCGAAGAGAATTGCTTAATGGGTCACACGAACAATTCATGGAGGATGAATTGCCGTTGGGAATAAAACAGATGAACCTCAAAGACAGCATGTATCCTAAAAACGATAACGGATTGTTTAGTGATGATGATGACGATGATGACGAAGAGGAAAGTCTGCCTGGATCAGATAAGGGAAAGCTGCCAAGATTGTTAGATGTGCGCACAATTGCACACAACCCCAGTGAATCAAGTGTGTCTGTGGGTAGCTTGAGAGTCCCTACTCACGAGCAAAACGGCAGCTACTCATCTGTAATATCTCCTATGGCTCAATTCAATGACCTAAGCGATCAATATAAGAAAGTCGGAAATAGCGCTCCATTTTATGGCCTTCAAACAGATTCGTCTTCCAAAAATGACCCCAGTGCGGAACAATTTGGTGCAAATTTGGAAAATATTCCAACGAGTTACGCAACCGCCAACAAACCTCAACAGCAGCATCAGCAGCAGCAAATCCATCAACTGGCCCATCCTGATGATACTCAAAAGAATCATTCGCCAATTGCTCCTGGCGTTGTGTATCCAAATAACAAACCCAGATATATAGTATCACCCAACTCCTCACAAAACCATCTCAGCAAACCAGTACAGTCTGAAGTGCCACGTCAAATCCCATCTCCTGTGAAGAAGGATTTGCAATATCCGATTTCTCCAGGAAGAAAAGCACCCACCACTGACTTTTTACCAAGTGGCGATCAATCGAGACCAAAGGCAAATATACCAAAATCGAATAAACAGATTTTTGTTCCCCTTGATGGAAAACCAGGTCAAGATAATTATTACAATCAGGGGGGAATTCGCCATCAAAGCCCACAACAAAATGGATCTGAATACAACCTGTCAAGAGCTGAGTATCCTGAGTCTCGGCGTGCAGCTGCGCAGTCTCTGAATCAGCCTGCTCACCACCATCCTTTGCCTCGATTTCAAGTCAGTGCTTCGAACCAAACTATGCGCCCGCAGCAGATAGGAGGGCAACCAAGTCAGCCACTGGGAAGACAGCCACACTCTCAACCGTACCCACAACAACAAGTTCAACAAGTGCAACAAGTGCAACAAGTGCAACAACAGCACCAGCAACAATCTTCAATGGGTCCTCCTACTCAATACGGTGTCAGCCAGTCAAGACCTCCCCCTTTGCATCAAGGACAGCATTCGACACAACGCGGCAATCATATGCCCAAAGCTTCTGGACCACAGAGAAGCCCCAACACTGGTGCTTTTGGCCACCAACAAATGTCCAATCGCCCTCCACAGCCGCAAAACTACGCAACTCAGTCTCAACAGTTTGGACAGCCCAACAATTTTAGAAGCTATGACAACCAACAGTACCAGTACACACCAAATACCCAGTCTCCCGGTGGACAGAGAAATATGCCCCACAACCTGAATGCCCCAACATCATCTAGACATCCATACGCGCAGCAGTTTTCGAGGTCTTACAACTATGATGGTACAGCATAGCAGGATTGTAGGAGTTGCTCTTCTGATTTATAGCAACAGAGACAAACAACAAATTTTTTTCAGTGTCATAATTAAACATAAAACTCTATATACCCTCTAAACACATCAATGGAACCAACCCGATTTTTTGCTCTGAATCATCCAATTCAATGCCATTTTTCCTCAGAAGTCGAATTTTGCACCACCCGTCGCTGTATTTTTCAAGTAGTGTGCATTTATCTCCAATACGTATCGTCAACTCATCGTCAAGACTCTTGGTATACGGCGTAGTTACCGTGTACATATTCATCCTTGAGGAAGCTTGTCTGTTTCCAACTGTTTTGAGACCAAAGTGAGGTTCATTGTTGGATGCAATATAGTTTGGTCCTTTACTTCCTGCAACATCTAGAACTTGTGACTTGATGACTTCCCTATTGGCTCCAGACCCATTACTTATGTTGAATTTTTTCAAAAAAACCGGTGTCATAACAGACATGCGCTTAAGTAAACTAGGCTGCTCCTGAGACAGGAGTTCTTGTTCTTTATCCCTTGCTGGCCATAGTCGACTCAAACGATTCAATTGTTGCTTTAGATTTGAAGCCTGGTGGGGCTGGTGTTGCTCATAAACTTGATACTCTTTATCGGGATGCAAGTAATTGGTTGGAGAGAAGACTACGGGGTACGGCTTTTCCGTCAATGTTTCCCAACTGGGTCTCGAATAATTTTGGTTCAGAAGAATAGGCTTGGCGCTTGTAGTAACAACGTTGTCCTGATTAAATTCACGCTTCGATCTTCGCAACCGAAGAAAGTACCACACAGCCATAGCAACAAAAAATACAGCAAATATGGCAATAGGGACACCTACCGCAACGCCAACCTGAGTAGAGTTGGAAGTTGGAATATCGTTAAATTGCAAGCCTGATGATATATCTGATGCTGCACTTGTGCTGATGTGCGATGCTGAAGGTGAAGACGATTGTCGCGATTCTAGGCTAGTAGTAGGCAGCAAGGATGAAGTCGGTGTTGGCGCACTCTGTAAGGTTGTTCTCTTTTGTGTAGTTGTAGCTGTTGGTGAAATCGAGTAAGTAACTGCGCTAGAAACCACCATTTGGGTGGTGAGGGTGGAAACTGCCCACGACAAGTAGGCACCATTTGAATCCGATGACTCCGATGATAAAGTTGCTGTTCGCGTTAATGTCATAATCAAAGTTGCATCGTTTGTTGGGCTCATTTTTCGAATGAGTTAACTCGTGGGGTGGGGTGAGGTGGAACGAATACTGACGTTGAGCTTTAAAAAAAAAACAAAAAAAGAAAAAAAGATAAAAAAAAACTGGTGCACTATTCATAGCATTTATAATACATTGATAGATAGCATATCATGTTTGAAAGGTGTTAAAAAAGTGTGAAATAATTGCATTTGATGTATGGTAGTTCTTTGTTGCAAAGACCGATTTTAATTTGTGTGCTTTTCATCTTTGTCTGCCACGGCTTGAGGTTTGTTTCAGATTCGAAATTGTTTTACAACTCCAACGTTGGGTCCACAAGCAAACAATAAATCACCTCGTAGGTCTGCTTTGACCTGTTTTGTCATGGACAAACTATAAAGGCAAAACATGTTCTGGGGCATTCTTGAATGATCTAGGGCTGTCACATGTGTCACTTTGAATTCCACTCCAATAATGAAAATAAACCAGCAGAGCGATGGTGCTACCTAGCACGGAGCCTAATATCACATCCATGAAATGGTGTCTATAGTCCTGAACTCTACTCGATGCAACGTATGTAGCAAGTAGTAACGGCAAGAACACTAAAATGTACTTGTACATATGCTGTGGTGTTGAAGTGAACAACTTAAATTGACCTGATAGCCACAATGAAAGATACAAAAACGCTGCGAAACTGATGGATGAATGACCCGAAGGAGTGGACCTCATACCGTCCAACAAGAGCGGTACTCCCAATGGGGCGCTGCAAACACTGACGTCGAGTAACTCGCCTGGTTGATTATCAATTTTGACACCACATCTGGCTAAAAAGTCAGGCCGTGGTCGAGCAATCCAGTTCTTAAGAATATCTGTTACCACGCCGTCCAAAAAGATGGATAAGGCAAGCCCCAACAAACTGATCTGGAAAATGTGTAATGGATCATATTTTGAGCTGGTTTTATTGGTATAAGTTTTCAAAATTGTCACCGAAAACATGATGGCTAGGGGCAAAATGGATGCTAAAAGTATACATGCAATCCCGGAAACACGTTCTTCGGTTGCGAAAGGATGCGCTATTGACAAGTCGGTGATCAGAAATTGGCGTTGAAATGGGTTGGCATGTTCAGCTATACTAAAGAAATACACCAATAGGATAAGCACAACTGCCCAATCTGATGCATAGGCTTTGACGTTGGCATTCGTGGAGAGTTTTGAGCCAGTGGAGGGAGGGAGAGCTCGCGTATTCATCTTTCAAGGCATGAAGTGAAAGTGACAAATTCATGGAGGGCTCATTTTTTTGTTGTCGTCTGACAATATGGGGGGGGAGAGAGAAGATGGGTGGTGGGGGTTCGACACCTCTGAGCACCTTTATATACAGGATGCATAAACATTGTAACAGCATACACTCCGCTTCATTGGATAAATCACCCTACACCTTACTCAGTGTTTTATCAGAGATGTACATACAAGGTATACTCCTTTTGTAGTTAACATGATTCCTTCTGAAGAGGCAGCAGACCTATAGGTGGCAACTCTGTACGTCAGAATCTTCTGCTCATTCGTAAAATGATTTTTAGGAGACCCATTTCGAAACGTTGGCAAAACTTCGTTTGCTGAAAATACTCTCAAAAGACTTGCATCGCGTCTTCTTCGAACGCACAGATGCACATTTGTCAATTGAAAATGGATCAGTGCCGGTTACTCTTCCTCAAAGTATGTACTTTGGAATAGCAGATTGATGTCGTGCGAGGATAACCAAAAAGTTCTTTTTCGTTCTCTCTATTTTTTTCACTTCAATTTTTTTTTTTTTTTTTTTTTGTTTTTTGAGAGAGAAAAAAATTCAAAAATTTTCCAACAATCAAAAAGAAGGCCAGTTCCACAATTTGTTCTACCTTAGTGAAATTTTCAAAGAAAAGGAAGTGTTAAAAATGCCAGTAGATCCAGAAAAGTTAGCTAAATTGCAAAAGTCTACCGCTAAGAAAGTCGGTGGTTCTAGAGTCAAGGCAAAGAAGGGAGTCAAAACCGAGCAAGACGACTCCAAATTGATTGAGACTTTAGGCAAATTGAAAGCCACCAAAATTGAAGGCGTACAAGAAGCCAACTTTTTCAAAGAGGACGGTAAGGTCTTGCACTTCAACAGAGTTGGTGTCCAAGGTGCTCCAGCTTCCAACACGTTTGCTTTCACCGGATACCCACAAGAAAAGAACATTACTCAATTAATCCCACAAATCTTGCCTCAATTGGGTGCAGAGAACTTGGAAATATTGAGGCAATTAGCTGAGCAAATTCAAGCTGGAAAAACTCCAGGTGATGTCAACGCCGGAGCCGCTGCTGCCAATGAAGAGGCCAATGAAGATATTCCAGACTTGGTCGACCAAAAATTTGATGACGTTGAGTAGATTGAGCAGCACATGGACGTATTGGCTCAATTTATGAATGTTGTATATACATATCAGGATTTTAATGCTGGGCCGACCCTGTTCACCAGCGAGGACAGTGTGCGGCGAATAGTAATGTTTCCATAGATTTTTTCATGTATGTTAATCTACGTCGCATTGTTGGAGTCTCATTGTTATAAAGACTTTGTAAGATTGTAATGTAGCCTTGTGTGTGTGGGTATTTACGTGGGTGCTTTCCGTATTTACAAAGTGTATTTGTATGACCGTTTCTGTCGGTATCTTTGTTGTTGCACGCATAATTGTCAGATATTGAGAATCAAAATCAATCACACCAACTCCAAAGGACTCCAGCAAAGTGTACCTGTTTCCTAGATACAAACATGACTTCAGCAAAAGAAAAGTCAAAGCGCATATTCTGGATATACCAAACTTGCTTAATGTCTCACCAGATTGCATTCAGCTCCTTGATAATGAATCAACACATTATTACTTCAAGTTCACCAAACCACACACAGAATCTAGGATAGAAAGCTATACTAGGCAGAAAATCCAACTCACTTTACCGAGGCACAGCAGCTACAAGAGGAGTCTATATAGAGCACGGAGTTGGCCAATTTGGGACAAGATCCCCC